GGGACATCAAGCTCAATTGGCATAACATACGACACAAAACATTGTTCCACCTCCTACTTTGTCAAGTAGCAACTGGGATCTTAAAAGCTTGCAAGCAGCCATCTAGATGCAACAATGGGTCTCTTCTCATCCAGAGCAAAGAAGAATAAAGAAAACCAAAGATTCATGGAAACAATTATTCCTAGCAAGTGGTACACCATGCAATCCTCAGCCTATACAACTATGAGTTCAGAAGAACTAGATGGTGCCTGGCTACCACTGTCAATCACTCGGAGGGGTAGTTATGTAGGAGATCCTGGATAGAGAGGGAGAACAATGTGGAACAAAACTCAAAATCATTTGGGGGGAAAAAAAAAGGGGGACCAAGTTTGCTGGTCTGATAGAACCTGGTGCAACCACTGAGACTATGGCCCCTAGCTGCCCTTCAGGTCTGGAATTGAACCCACCCCTGTGGTTTCCAGCCAAACAAAAGACAGGCATATGAACTGAACATTTACGTGCAGTAGATACATTCCTTGGACAGTTCAATCATGGGAGAGAGAAGGGCTGTTTATGCACAGTAAGACAGCTCAGGGGGCAGAAGTGCACGGAGGGATGGACACCGGGAAGAGGTAACTATCAAGAGGAAGTGGGAGGGGAGCTGTTGCATTGGGGTAAATTGTAGTCAATATCATGAGACAATGTGTGGTGAACTGCTGCATGAAAAGTAAATTTGCTCTGTAAACTTTCACCCAAATAATAGTAGTAATAATAATAATAGACATCAGAAGACATATTACACTGGGCAAATCTGCTACAAAAAAAAACTCTTTCAAGTGCTGAGAAGCAAACATGTCTCCTTGAAGACAAAGGCACACCTAACCCAAGCCATGTTAATTTCAATCATCTCATATGCATGTGAGAGCTGGACAATGAATAAGGAAGACCAAAGAAGAGTTGATGCATTTGAGTTGTGGTGTTGGCAAAGAAGACTCAGAGTACTATGGACAGCTAAAAGAACTAACAGATCTGTCCTGAAGAAGTACAGCTCGAATGCTCCTTGGAAGCGAGAATGGCCAGACTTTGTCACACCTACTTTGGTGAGCCAAAAGCTGGATAAGCCAATCTCGGGACCAGCAAAAGGCAGGTGTTTGCATGCGTGGAGCCTCCCCCAGGCACTGACCACAATAAGGCATCCCTGGGACCAGCAGAAGGCAGGTGTTTCTGTGTGTGAAGTACCCCGGGGGCAGGCCACAGTAAGCCAGACCTGGGACCAGTGGGTGGCAGGTGTTTGTCCCAGGGGCATGCCAGGTTAAGTAAGCAAGGCCGGGAGAACAGGAAATGAGCCGAATAGTTTAGAACAGCTAGAAGAGAGAAACTTGTCTGTCAGTTTGTCCCACTGTGGTGGCTTGAGTGTTGTTGTGAGGCTGGAGACTGTGCTACTGGGTTTCAAATGCCAGCAGGGTTACCCATGGTGTACAAGGCTCAGCCTAGCCTCCAGACTAAGAAAGACTTGGAAGAAGAAAGAGACCCTCCAGTTCTCAAAGAACTGGCCAATGAAAACCTTATGAATAGCACTGAAACACTGTCTGATATATTACTGGAAATTTTATGAATATTCCTGAAATACATCCAATATAGTACCAGAAAATGAGCCCCTCAGGTCAGAAGGCACTCAAAATATGACTGGAGAAGAGCTGCTTCCTCAGATTAGAGCCTATTTTAATGATGTAGATAGAGTAAAGCTTTTGGGACCTCCATTTGCTGATGTTGCACGTCTCAAGATGAGAAGAAACAGCTATAAACATCCATTAATAATTGGAACATGGAATGTACAAAGTATGAATCTAGGAAAATTGGAAGTTGTCAAAAATGAAATGGAATGCATAAAGATTGACATCCTAGGCATTAGTGAGATGAAATGGACTGGTTTTGGCCATTTTGAATCACACAATCACATGATCTACTATGCCGGGAATGACAAATTGACAAAGAATGGTGTGACATTCATTATCACAAAGAATGTTTCAAGATTTATCCTGAAGTACAATGCTGTCAGTGATAGGATAATATCCATACATCTATGAAAAAGACCAGTTAATACTGCTATTATTCAAATTTACGCAGCAACAACCAAAGCCAAAGATGAGGAAATTGAAGATTTTTATCAACTTCTGCAGTCTGAAACTGACCCTAACATGTAACCAACATGTGTTAATCATCACTGGTGATTGGAATCCAAAAGTTGGAAATGAAGAATCACCCGGTAGTTGGAAAATATGCCTCGGTGATAGAAATGATGCTGGAGATAGCATGATAGAACTTTGCAAAACCAACAACTTACTCATTGCAAATACCTTTTTGAACAACACAAATGGTGGCTATCCACGTGGACTTCACCAGACAGAGTACACAGGAATAAGACTGACTACATGTGTGGAAAGAGGCAATGGAGAAGTTCAGTATCTTCAGCCAAAACAAGGTCAGAAGCTGATTTTGGGAAAGACCATCAACTGCTCATATGCAAGTTCAAGTTGAAGCTGAAGACAATTAAAAAAAGTCCATGAGAGCCAAAATATGACCTGGATTATATCTCTCCTGAATATAGAGATCATCTAAAGAATAGATTTGATGCACTGAATACCAATGACCGAAAACCAAAAGAACTGTGAGATGGCATCAAGAACATCATCATGAACAAAGCAAAAGATAATTAAAAAGACAGGAAAGGAAGCAAAGATCCAAATGGATGTCAGAAGAGACTCTGAAACTTGCCCTTAAATGCAGAGTAGCTACAGTGGATGGAAGAATTGACAGAATAAAAGAGCTGAACGTAAGATTTCAAAGAGCAGCTTGAGAAGACAAAGTCAATTATTATAATGCAACATGCAAAGATCTGGAGTTAGAAAACAAAAAGGGAAGACTACTCTGATCATTTCTCAAGCTGAAAGAACTGGGGAAAAAAATTAAACCTTGAATTGCATTATTGAAGGATTCTATGGGCAATATGTTGAATGATGCAGGCTATATCAAAAGAACTTGGATGGAATACAGAGTCATTAAACCAAAAAGAATTTGATAGATGATCATTCATTTCAGGAGGTGGCATATGATCAGGAACCAATGGTATTGAAGGAAGAACTTGAAGATGACTGAAGGAATTGGTGAAAAATCAGGCTCCAGGAATTGACAGAAAACAAGGCTCCAGGAATTGTCAGACTACCCACTGAGATGTTTCAACAAATGGATGCTGAGGTGAAGTCACACACTTGACTATGCCAAGAGACTTGGAAGATAGCTACCTGGACAATTGACTGGAAGAGATCCATATTTGTAACCAATCCAAAAAAAGATGATCCTACAGAATGTGGAAATTATCAAACAACATCATTAATATCACATACAAGCAAAATCCTACTGAAGATAATTCAAAAACAATTGCAGCAGTACATTGACAGAGAACTTCCAGAAATGCAAGCAGGATTCAGAAGGGGAGTTGGTGTGAGGGATATCATAGCTGATGTCAGATGGATCTTGGCTCAAAGCAAATACCAGGAAGATGTTTACTTGTGTTTTATTGACCATGCAAAGGCATTCTATTGTGTGGATCATAACAAATTGTGGATAATATTGAGAAAAATGAGAATTCCCAAACACTTAATTATACTGTGAGGAACCTGTATATAGACCAAGAGGCTGTCATTTGAATAGAACAAGGGGATAATGCATGGTTTAAAATCAGGAAGGGAGTGTGTCAGAGTTGTGTCTTTTCACCATATTTATTAAATCTGTATGCTGAGCAAATAATCTGAGAAAATGGACTATATGAAGAAGAACATGGTATCAGGATTGGAAGAAGGCTCATTAACAATCTGCACTAAGCAGACAACACAACTTTGCTTGCTGAAAGTGATGATGACTTGGAGCACTTACTGATGAAGATTGAAGACTACAGTCTCAATATAAAGAAAACAAAAATTCTCATAACTGGACCAATAAGCAGCACCACGATAGATGGAGAAAAGACTGAAGTTGTCAAAGACTTATTATTAATTGTTTCCACAATCAACGCCAAGGGAAGCAGCACTCAAGACATCAAAATACGTATTGCATTGGGCAGATCTGTTACAAAAAATCTCTTTCAAATGCTGAAGAGGAACGATGTCTCCTTGAAGACTAAGGTGCACCCGACATGAGCCATGGTATTTTCAATCGCCTCATATGCACGTGACAGTTGGACAACTGAAATAGAAGACCTAAGAAGAGCTGATGCTTTTGAGCTGTGGTATTGGCGAAGACTGCTAAAAGAACAAACAAATCTGTTCTGGAGGAAGTGCAGATAGAATGGTCCTGGCAAGCAAGAATGGCCAAACTTGGTCTCACCTACTTTGGTCATGTGTCAGAAGGGACCATCCTCTGGAGAAAGATGTCATGCTGATAAAGTGGAGGGTCAATGAAAGAAGGGAAGGCCCTGGCTGCAGCGATGGGTCCAGGTATAGTAGGGATCGTGAGGTTGGCACAGGACCAGCAGTGTTTTGTCCTGCTGCACATAAGGTTGCTACAAGTCAGAGATGTCTCAACAGCACATAACAACAAATGACACCACCACTTTGGTCATGTTGTCAGAAGGGACCATTCTCTGGAGGACATCATGCTTGGTAAAGTGGAGGGTCAGCAAAATAAGGAAGGCCCTTAACAAGATGGACTGACACAGTGGCTACGACAATGGGCTTGGGTATATCAGTGATCGTGAGGCTGGCACAGGACTGGGCAGTGTTTCGCTCTGTTGTACATAAGGTCACTACAAGTCAGAGATGCCTCAATGGTACCAAACAACAACAACAGGAAACTAATACAAGGATTTACTGTAACAATGTGTACAAAGAGCTTAATATAGTGCCTAGCACAAAGTCAGCCCTCAAGTGCTACCTATTATCATTATATCATTGTTAATGACATTAATAGCTTATCAGATTTATTAATAACTATATGTTATATATCTTATATGTTATATATCTTACTTGTCCAATCCAGCACATTAAATAAGATGGATCAAGAGACTGAGCCATTTTGAAAGCTTCATGAGCTTGCTAGAAAAAGAAAAGACAAGAAGATATCACATCAAGTCATTCTACAAAGTTTATACTACATTGTTCATGTTTAAAAAGCATAAAATAATAAAAATGACACCTGTCATCATAAATACGCATGAACCTTAAACTTTAATGTTTAAGCCCAATTAGCAATAGGCAGTGTTTTAACTACATAGTCCTAGAGCATTCCTGAGTGTAACAGATTTGTCTACAGTCCTAGGAGTTTTGGTCCCCAGCAAAAAGGGCAGTACAAGCCCTTTGAGCTTAACTGGGAGAGTTGTTGTTGTTAAGTGCCGTCGAGTCAAACCCGACTCATAGCGACCCCTCCTTGGGTTTCCGAGGCAGTATCACTACGGAAGTAGGATTGCCCAACCTT